CGGAGATCCGAGTAGTTAAACCGCGCTGGCCACAGAGCCAGAGAGAGCTGTCGCACGCGTGCAGTTTTCTTCCCAGCTGTCGTCCCCTTGGGCCCAGCTAAGGGACGAGGTTCCCCCGCCCCGGTCTGCGGGGCCGAGGCCCCGCGCTCGCCGGCTGCGGTTTGAGCGGCGCTGCTAACCCAGGCTTGCCGGGTACGGCCTGTCCTCTCCAAGCGCGAGCTCTTCGGCTCTCTCGGGTTCCCTGCCGCCGTCAGCGTCTTGCTGGGCCTCGCCGCGCAGCGCCCAGGTCCTCCGCTCGCCCCCTCCGGCAGCGCCCTGCCCCGAACGCCCCGTGGCTGCGTTGTCCCCGCGTCTTGCTGAACTCGGCCTGCTTTGCAGCCAGCTGGATTCTGAATTTTACCGGTTTTCGGGAGGCTTTTAAAAATGAGCGTGTGTAAGTGACCTCATCTAGACGGCGCAGCACAGCGAGGCAGTCAAACCAGGCCTGTCCTTAAATCAGGCCCAGCGCTAAGGTCGCTATGCTTATCAACACATAACACTTGAAGGCATCAAATGAAACCAGCTTTTGTAGAGCCTCGCTAATTAGGCAAGAAACATCTACCACGTAGGCACAGGCTTATCCCACCCCCTTCTTCTGCAAGTTGAATGACTTCAGGAAAATGGTAGCCTGCATCAGCCTGATCCAAGATGCCCTCTGTAAAAGGGTGTCTTTGTTTGAGCAGCCTGCCTACATACTGCTTTATGTGCTTCTGAGACGTGGGGAAGTGCAGTGGTTGTCATGAAGCTCGTATCTCCTATTCGGGCATTGTATGCGAGGCTGAATTTAATTTATGGTAAAGAAAATCTTATGTTCTGTCTTTGGAATTAAAGCTGACACTGCCAACTGTTCGCTAGATTAAGGCCTGCGAGATATTGTAGATTAACAATATAAAGGCAAAAATTAGTTCCCATTTGAAAACTAGTAAAATCTGTCTGACAACATAAATTTTAACACTGACTGCAGCAAAGGCTACATCATTTACGTGAAAACATTTCTGCTCTGATCTCACAAATGATAGAGGTGCTGTCAGCAGTAATACACTCGTGACTACATTGGAATTAATGTAAGGATGAAGGAATTAATTTCTAATTCCTTACTGAAAGAGCAAACAATTGGATTGCTAAAAATGTGAGGAAATGACACCAAGTTCAACTGGAAAAGGAGGAAAAAGTGGAGCTGTGTCAAGATGCAATAGACATTTCCCACTGCACTGTCCTCTTAATGTTCAAAGTGTGTATATATGTATGTATGTATATATGTGTGTGCGTGTGTGTGTGTGTATAAAAAAATAAAATGCAAAGTTCTCAAACATATTTAAAAATGTCTTGCCAGCAAGGTTAGCTCGGTAGCTTGTTCACAGTCAGAGGATTATGTCTGCTGGATAACTGAAAGGTTTGTGGATTTAAGCAGATATATGGAGCTCAAGTGCTACAGTAATCACAATAATCAGTGGTAATATATGGCCTATTTTTTTCACCAGGTGATCGGCTACTGACCATAGAATGAAGTGATACGTTCCTATGAAAACGCTCCTCTTACCGAGCCATTAACTACTTTCTGCATTGTAATTAGCTTTCCATGAGGTCTAGCATACGCATATGGGGAGCGGGGGTGTATATATATGTGCAACGAGTGTGTACAACATTATGGTTTCTGATAGCATTTGTCTAGAGTCTGATCTTGATTCCAACCAATTCCAGTAGTAAACCTTCTCCTTATTTAAGAGAGAGAAGGACTTTGCTATTAAACTTTCATAAAGAAAAGAACAGATACTTACATTTAATTTTCAGTAATGTTGTGTGTATGTGTCTATCCATTTGAGTTAGTTTGCACAGAATATACCTTTTGTGTATCAGACACAAGATACCCACCCTAGGAAAACATGTCTGGAGTCAGTGACTGAAATCTCTGTTGGGTTTTTTAATAGCAGTCAGAGAGTGCT